CAATGAGGCAGACCAGCTGTGTCTATAAATTGGTTAGAAAGCAGCAAACAAATCAACATATATAAGTAGCAGTAACACATATAAAGAAGATAGCTAAGGGTAGGAAGAAAATAATAGCACACTTTTACAACGACATCAATAATCATCCGTCACAGAAGTGAGTGCGGCAGAATGTGAACCCATTTTCTCCGGCAACTCTGTCCAACCCAACCTAATCCAAGAAAACGAAGTAAGGACAAACCACAACCTAAATCCAAACCTTTAAGTAGCTAGTCCCACATAATTAGATAAGAAAAAGAGCATGTTACACTATGCAAATAAATAGCCATTGGAAGATCATGGATTCCAATCATCATCTCATCCAAATATATTGATTGGCTTCATAAAATTCTGCATCTATTAAAATGAGCTTATGAAAACAAAAAAGTCAAGGTCCTTGCACATAATGCATCCAGTTCACACCATACTACCATAACACTTGACTAATAAATTCTTTATATTAAGTTTATTATGTTACCACGTGATACTTAAAGAACAAAATGGGCTAATTAATAGAAAATGGTGTGAAAAGAGTACTGAGTAAGTCATTACAACTTGCACGGTTCATAAAGATTACATAAGCAAAAGCACCTTTGTATAACAATAATTGAAACCAGAAATATGCCAAACACCTCAAAGTCAAAATATGTATTAATAATCCTTTTCAATTTTCTTAAACTCACATAAATAGCAAATGATTCTATACAAATTATAAAGATATAACAGATTTACAATCAAACTATTCATGATTTGGATTACTAAAGAAAGTTATTTTGAAACATAACTGATGGAGAAAATAAATGCTTCAGATCATTAGGCTTTCATTGAGACCCCAGATTGTGTGAATTTGGGCTAACCTGAGATGGTGAGCAATCAAAAGATGATGACAGAAAATACTAAAATGACAGATAAAACCCTATGAGAGATATTATCTTTTAATTAAATCCAAGTTAAAATCGAGTAAGAGATGAGAACTTACTCATTAAAGATTCCTGGAAATTGAGATTAACATAAGTTTACAACCTTGAAATCGAGATAATGGAAGGCGAAGCTATCGTATCATCGTCGAATAGGGAAGCTGGAAATTGGTCGTATCTTCGTCGAATAGCAAAGCTTGAAGCCGGTCGTATCATCGTCAAAACAGAGAACTCCGTCGACGTTCATCTCTTTGTCTACGGTTGTCTCTTGGTCAACGGTAGATGCCGCTATGGTAGGCTTCTCGTCTCTGCGACTGTGCGTCGAAGCTGGAAGGTGAGTTCTACCTTCTATTCGGATTCTAGGGTTCTTTGAAGTGAATGAGAGGATGAGAGAAGGGGTGAAGGAAGGATACACACGTTTATAACTTTATGTGTGTATTTAATATGTGTATATTTAATAAATGGTCCCATTTTTTAATAATATAAAATTATTTAAATAATTAATTGTGTTGGAGTGTCACTGGTATAGGGTGATATAATAGTATCAGAAATGACTGATATAAAAGTGTCATAAACGTCTGAATGTCACAATAGTGTCACTGACAAAGTGTCACTGTAAGTCACTTTTCTAGTAGTGATTGTTATCCAATATTTAAAATGATCTTCTATAGTAACGTCAACCAATATAATCAGAAAAGTAACTCAAACCTTACTTATTCTTATTACTTCACAATTCTTCGCTTGAAATGAAAAGTTACATGTTTGGTGAAAAATTGTGTAATGAGCCTGATAATTCAAAAAAACAAACTCACCAAACCGACTCTATATCTTGGACAACCACATATATGGCTTGAAATGTAATTCCGTAATTCATTTAATGTAAAACACAATTCCGTAAAATATTTTCCAAAAGTCTTTCACCAAACACTAAAAGTGGTTAGCTTTTGAGTGGCAAACATTCACACGAGGCAAATATTTGATAACCATATAAACATTCACAACAACATGAAACTATGGCGCAAACCAGTACGAGTGGAGAAGATCAAAGAAGGGGGATATGGATATAATGGAGATGATCTTTTCATCTTCTCGTTCATCTCACAAAAGCAATTCCAAGCACTTTAGGCCTTCAAATATCCAGGACCGTCCCTCAGCGACATTTTAAGCACATCTTTCTGTTAGTAAGCGGCTTTTTAAGCGGCGTGCGTGTTTACTCCACCTGTTTTACTAACCTAACTGTGACTTTAGCAGCGAAGTAAACACCTTCTTAAAATAAAAAACATTGCAGACATTGTTTTAGACTTTTAGATGAGGTATGTGCTTTGAATGCACGTAAGTATTTATAAATATCAAAATTCTATAATACGTAGTATTTTCATACTCCCAAGTCCCTAAATAAAAAACTTTGTTTCCTTTTTAGGCTATTTTTATATAAAAGGCTTATTTCCCTTTTTGACAAATACTCCCTCCGTCCCGAAAAGGTTGGCCAAATTTCCTTTTTTGGATGTCCCAAAAAGATTGGTCATTTTCATTTAAAGTAAGAAATATGTGGTTAAAGTTAATTCTCTCTCATCTAAACAAATTTCAACCACACAGTTTTTACTTTATTAATTCACGTGAAAGTCAACTTTGACCAACCTTTTCGGGACGGAGGGAGTAAAACAATACAAAATAGTGCTAAATAATGCAAAATAGTGCAAAACAACACCAAACAATGTCAGTGTCCAAACAATGTTCAAAGAATATTCCTTTTCAAATTGTGTTCCAGTCAAACTCTATCTTTTATATAGGAAGAAGGTAGTATTTGAAATACACTCCTCTAATTTTTACTCCGTAATATTCATAAAAGTACCTCCTTACCGGTATCATAGGCAATTTATACCGCACACCCGGGTGTACAGGTACACCCAGATATTTTTGAAATTCTCTGTAATTTGGATGGCAATTTAGTTCTTTGCGGTGTGTATTCTTCCGGCGCCATTCTTACCTGCGTGCTCTTGCCTTCATACGTCGATCTTTGTTTTCATCCTTGCACTTTCTTTTGTTTTTTCCTTTTACCAATCATTCCTAAATCCCTATAGGGAAGCGTGTAAATAAAGTCCCGTGGAAACCAGATGGCCGGCCGACGATGGAATCTGAGACATAGGATTTGTAGGTCCAATGCAATTGAACAACCGACTCCACCTTTTAGCTTTGTTTGCTTTTTGTTGACGGCCAGCGGTGTGAAATATTGTTGTTGTTCCAAATTAACGTTGTTTGCCTTTTTTTCTTTTTCTAATTAATCTTCATTTATAATTTAAGTATTTTTTTTAAATTGTGCATTATAAAATATTTTAGGTATCAATGGTGTGTTCTATTTTAACTTTGAGATGAATTTTTTTTAAATTAATATTTGTGTGTTCATTATTTTAATATTGTGTGCTCATTATTAACAAGAGTTTTGTGTTATACTGAAATGAGCATAGTGTAAAAATTAAATGTGCATGAGTAAACATTATTAAAAGAATATGATTAGTTTTTTAGTTCAAGAATGACAAATTATAAATTATTTTGAAACTAAAATATTTTAATGAGCTTTTGAATTTTTCAATGCCCATTTTATAAAATATGTATACACATTCGGGACTGCTGTTATGCTCATTTTAAAACGTCATATCAATGCTTATGAAACTAACGCTCAACAGAATAAGTATCATGCTCATTAAAAGTGTGTTAATGTTCATTTAACACCATTTTTTTCATCTCAATAGAGGAGATTTGATACTCAATGAAAATATCGTAATGTTCAACTCACAAACCAACTAACAAATTCATTAATGGCCTTAATGCTCATTTTTTACGTTACGTATGCTCATCTTGTACTGATCATATGCTCATATATTAGACTCCCAATACTCAACATAATAGGTCGGATGATGCTCATTAAGAGTTCATTCATGCTCATTCACAAGAAACTGTGATTTTTATCTCAATAGCTGATGTTTGAAGCTCAATTAAAATGTCATGATGTTCAACTAACAAAACCTTATAATTTTCATATCAGTGTGCACTTTGTAAGTTATGTATGCTCATTTGGTACTGATGTAATGCTCATTTTTACAATGTCATATCAATGCATATTTCAAAAGTATCATATTATATTAGACTCGCATATTTAAATTAATAAGAGTTGATTATAGATATAATTTAATAAGTTTTCATAAAAGAAAAAATAAGAAAAAGAAAAAGAATTAGAAGATATGAACCAGAAATCGTGATACTCATTTTTAGCCTCATAATACTCAATAAAATAGATCAGATGCTCACTAAAGTTACACTATTGCTCATTTAGCGTAAGCCGTGGTTTTTCGCTTATATTACAAAATTGCCACCGAAAAAAAATTGGCCTGTATTGGTTGCTGGGCTGTCATCCTTAGTTGGGCCGGGTGTATGTACACCCGAATGTATGATATAGGCTCTCGGTATCATATACAGAGCAGTTTTTGTTTGGCCCATACTCCTTCCCTATGTTGCACGGATACGGATACGCCGATACGTGGATATGCGGATACGGGTACGGCGATACGGCACTTTCAAAAATTATAGGATACGGGTATAGGGTATATTTATAAATAATAAAAATATAGGGTATAATTTGCAAATATATATAATTCAGGGGTTCATAAATAAAATAATAATAATAATACAAAAAATTAAATATTATAATAAAGTTTCAAAGATTGGTCTAAAAAAACTAAAGTATTGATATTTTGATTTAAATTCAAATAAAATTTTTTTGTTCTCTATTTGCATTTACATCTAAGTCTTGTTTCAATTAAAGTTCATCAAGCAATGAAATGACAAATTATAGTATTCCATTATTTTACATACTCCCGAAACCATCTTTATCAAAGTTCCACATGCTGTGGTTGCTTGGGTGGGTACTGAATTTTCGTCATGTCGTGTATCAAATGAGGAGTTATAGGTTCGGATACGCGTATCCATTCACGGATACGGGTATCGAATAATCAAAAGTATCGATATTTTTAAAATTAAGCCCAATACTTTTATTAAATTACTAGTACTCAGGCTACAACATAGCTCCTTCCCCGTATCATCGTTTCGGCCTACCGTATATGTGTGCTACACAGATGCTCGACAGTCGACCCGGTTGAAGCCTTCGATTCCAAATCCGTATCCGCTTCCTTTTGGTTCTGACCTCCGACGACAGAGAATTCACCGTTTTTCTTAACCCAGGTATTTCATTTGCTAAGCTCGCCTCCATCATCAGCATTTGCTTCTTTAACTTCCACCCTTATCATATTCTCAAACAAAAATTAGTCTTTTTTACAATAAACAGATCGTTTAGATGTTTTAAACTAAATATTTGCTTTATCATTTTAGTGGATGTATTGTTTTAGGTTGTAAAATAATCATCGAATTATCCATTTAATCGATTAATCATGAAGCAAACCCGAAGAATATGATTATAAAGGTCAGCATAATACTTTATTCTATATCGAAGTAAGTTTCTATGTGATCAGGTCATGTGATGTACGTAGTTGTAATGTGCTTATAAATTTCTTTAGCTATATCTAATTATGCTGGGGTCCTGGGGATGTAGACCTCATTAGCTAAACATTCCGACTCTCTAACTGCTTATCAGATACGTGATTATTATTTATTAAAGACAGTATAGAAAAGCTCTCAAGTGTAATGCTGAATTGCTGATAAACCTGTACATCTTAGCTCTTTGAATTTCAATCTGTTGTATTCTTTCAATATTTAGGAATTAGTCATTGTGAATTGGACCATTCATGGATCACATTCATTTATTTGGCTTTGCTGTGGAATTTGGCTCATATAGATTTTTCTGGCATCATATGCTGAAAATTCATAGCATTCTGAATAAAGTGGGTTTATTTTAGGCTTAAAATATGCACATAGCAAGGATTATAAAGGATTATGAGCATGGCTCTAGAACATTATAAATAAAAACTAAGTCGATTGTATGGTAGCATTGTAGCAACATCCCAAATGCAAGAATTAAAGACAGGGGGAATTTGATATACCGAGTAGAACTTATTTTTAAAGACAGAAAGCTCCACAAAAGTCAGTGGGATAAAGGCTAGGCACCCCCGAACTGAATTTTATTGAAAGTAAATAAGATAGACATGAGAGGACAAGTACCAAGCCCAAAGCCAATGCCCTCCCGAAGATGGCAGTCCCCCAAAAAGGTACAAGCAAAACAAAGGTAGAGAAGACCCTAAACAGGCTTAAACTGATTACAAACAAGGAAGGGAAAAGCAGCCACAAAAATCAGTAATTCAGTATGTAAACTACCAAACAAATGTGGGGACACAAAAGGCCTTAGCCAAACCTTTCCCCCAGAAGAGGCTAGATGAGTGCACCCAAATAGCCCAAATTCTCCATATTGGCAATATAGAAGGCTAGGACAAAGCCACTTTACAAGGAATAAATGACAAATAAGAACTAAGGAGAGTATTTACCACTCCCAAGAGAGCTTGTAAATGAAAAACTACCCTCCATTGAGTCTCTTCAAGTCCCAAATACCAAATTTGTTAACAAACTCATGTCACCTTTTCGACCATTTCAGCATACTGGAGTCTACGCTGTAACTGGGAAAGGCCGTTCATGCTCTCAGCCATGAAGAACATACTATACCTGAGTTTCACATTATGCAGAATGTTGGGATCCAAAACAGCAGCCCCTGATCAGCAGAGACCTCTAATGTTAGAGATATCTGCCTGTTCAGTGCAGACAAGCCCTTTACCTTTCCTATCAAATCCATTAAAATTGAAGAGCCTTAGGGAATCAGAGCGGAGGCCCAGTTTAGCCATTTCATCAGCTATATCATTAGCTTCCTCCTCACATCCTGAAAGAAAATATTAAGGTCAGAGGAAATATGCCTGATCGTTTTATGACCCATTGTATATTTGTATCTCACATCTTCCGCATTCAAAATTGAAATGGTTATTACATCTTTAAAATCTGTCTAATTGAAGGTGTTGCTCAACACTTCCAGCACCAGTATTTTGCAATTCTCGGTTATGACCAAACAGCAAAAGCTCAGTCATCTCAATATTACAAGCATAAATTTATTCATAGTTGGCAATCAAGCAATCAACGCTTTCCTAGAATGGTCTATGACTCTCTGGCCAGTGGCCACCCCACCTATAAATGATCTCCAAGCTATTGACACTGATCTGTATTGATTTTAATATCCCTGGAGGTGTCTTACCCCAATAGAAGTAAATAAACTTTCCCCATGGTTTTATGTTTTCGAGAGTTCTAGTGTGGGCCTGCAAATAACTCATGAAACCCTCAATTTGTTGGATTATCGGTTTGTTATCCCATTTTTTCGTTCTGGAACTTGGCTTCATCTCTTTTAGGGAAATGGAACAATTATACCCTTGTTCTATTATTTGGGACAAAAACATAAAAAGTCTAATACTTGGCCTAAAAGTATCCTTCCTTAATGGTTCATTAAATGTATTAACATTGCGACCAATCCACAATATACTTATATGCTTCAGCTCAAGTATTGTCCACTCCTGTGCCTGTTTGTCCGAATAACAGAGAAGTGAAAGCTATGAACAAAGATTGCAGGGGTGAAGGCCATAGAGTTGAGTTAGAGACTTGGACTCAGCCTAGCCATCTAAGTAACTAACCATGGGTGAGGCATAGAAGTGAGGAGGAGATCAGAAGAAGTAAGAGTGGATGCCCAACCAGAGACTTCAACAGATGAGTCAAACCTCAGAAAACATTGGGCAGATTTTGAGATCCATCGGCGCAACTCTCTATCTTTCAAACTCAAGCTAGTTCACTCTTGATGGCCCTACTTTTCTATGTTTTTTTCTTTCTTTTTTGAGACTGTATTTCTGCTATTTCATACACTAATATTATGCACTCACAGAGAAACAACTAATGTTGCCTTCCCAACACAAAAACAAAATACAAACTCTCTCTCTATATACTTAGTGGTACTATAATATATATATATATATATATATATATATATATATATATATATATATATATATATATATATATATAGGGTGAAGATCGGATACAAATCATTCTTCTAGTAAAAAATACAAATTCATCTCATCCATTCAAAAATACAAAATCAATGGTCGCAATTAATTAGGCCACCATCAATCAGCCGTTAGTGGGGTTTAGGATCCCTATTTTTTCTCAAGTGCATGCCGTTGCACATTTTTGGAGAAGTTTTAGGATCTACCAAATTAAATACACGGTAATCTCATTGAAATAGATGGCTAAGATTAATGTGCACTTTGTAAATTAAGATGACTTTGTATGTGATCCTAAATCTCTCTCTCTCTCTATATATATATATATATATATATATACTTCAATAGTCTTGATAGCCAGCTAGCAATCAATAAAGGACGGACTCAACCGTTTTTCATATAGGATTAGGTGCAAATATAAAGAACAGCATCCATTTTTATTATATTAAAAGATGCACCCAAGAACATCTCCAACCTCCATTTGATATAATCGGATTGTTGCTATACGATAGAGAAGAAAGAAACATGAATAAGAGAGAAGCTTTAACCAGGTTCTTCAATCAGGATGCATTCAATTCTCACAAGCTTAACTTTATATCTGACAGGGAAAAGGTTTAAAACGTTAGGGAGGGTAGACTTGTACCCCAATTTCAGTTTTGCAAGTTTTTTGTTCCAAAAAATAAAACAATGGTATATCTGTTCTCACACTAATATTGTGGGGGTATATACATTCCTTTCCCCTTTCTTTTACTCCTAAAAAAGGGTGGGTTTTCATTTCGCCTGGTGAAACTTACCAGCTTACCATTATGCAAGCCATCCATTGAAACTTCAAGCTTGTTTACAATTGGTTCAGCTGGCCTGGCCCACTTTGTCTGCCTTTTTTTGATATTGATGGTTTGATTTAAGGAGATCAATGGGGGAGAAGACCAAGTACAGTATAATTATCCCAACTTATAATGAACGACTCAACATCGCCATCATTGTTTACCTCCTCTTCAAGCATGTCAAGTAATATTCTTTTTCCCTCCCTATATTTACATGGGTTCTTGGTGCATCTTTTCAATTTCATCTATTGGTTTACTTTAATCTTTTTAGGTGCACAATTCAATCTATTATTTGTATAGTTTAGATGCTAATTGTTGATTACAAACTCTAAAATTTTCCTGTGATCTTGCTCTTGTTCTAGCTCTAATAAATTATTAATCCCTCCGTATTTAAATGTTCACTACACTAGCTTTGGGCACAATATTTTAGGATAGAATAGTAGGGGTACTGAATAGTGTAGAAAAAGTAGGAGAGAGCGTGTAAAAGTATGAAAGAGAAGATAAAAAGTAGATAAAGTAAGGGTAATTGAGTATTTTATTAAGGATAAACTCACCAAAAATGGAAGTGTAGGGAACTTTTAAATACATCCTGAAAAGGAAAGTGTAGGAAACTTTTAAATACGGAGGGAGTATTTTTTTTTCTTCATATACTCCGTATTTAATAGCTTTTCACTTCATTTTTCTCGACTAAAATTTCTGATGCTTCATCTTTTGGGTTCTCTAATTATACTAGTATATGTTTTGATGTACTGCGTGCTTTCTTGGTACCATTAAAGTTTACCAGATGAGACTAATTTATATTGTGGTCCTTAAAGTTTAATTTCTCATTTACTTATTTAAATTTAAATTGGTAGTTCTTAAACTTTTATGCATGCAAAATATTTTATGGCTATGTAAAGTCCAACCACAATATTGTAAGACTTATTTACTTTTGACATGGTAGGGATGTTGATTTTGAAATTATAGTTGTGGATGATGGAAGTCCTGATGGAACTCAAGATATTGTAGAACAATTGCAGCAGGTGTATGGGGAAGGTCGCATTGTCAGTAGATTTTTTGACTCAATTCTTTGTGATTTATTTCTTACCTGTAGATAACAATTCTTAAGAGTTTGTACTCTCCCCCATTGGTCTTGCAGCTTTTGAGGCCCCGATCGGCTAAGCTTGGTTTAGGTATTTACATATGCTATTCCTAAATCCTAATTAACCTAATTTGATAAAGCATGTCCTTAACTGTATGTCATTCAGGTACTGCATATATTCATGGTTTGAAGTATGCCTCTGGAAACTTTGTTGTCATTATGGATGCCGATCTATCCCACCATGTAAGAATGCTTTGAAAGGTTATACACATGCACTTTTTTTATAGTGTACTTGTGATAAATGCAAATGATAATCTCCAAGTTCCTACATATACATTGTTAAAATCACTGACTGGAGTAGGCGGGCTTTTCTACTTCATTTCTTTCCTTACAGTTTTTTTCTTTTCACCAGTTTTTTCTTTCTATAACTTCCTTCATTAGCATTTTTCCTCATTACTCCCTCCGTCCCTATACTATCTTCAAACTTTCCTTTTGTGCTCGTCCCAAAATTATCTCCTCTTTCCCTTTTTGGCAAAGAATTTGTGGTTCACAACAATTCTTACACATTTTTCTCTCTTCGGCACAGTACTCCACCACACAAAACCTACTATATTAATTTGTGTGCCTGGTCAAATGAGGAGATAACATAGGGACGGAGAGAGTATAATATTTTAATAAAATTGAGATTTCCCTAAAAAAATAGTGGATGATAAAGAAAAAACATTGTTAAATTGTTATTAGGGGCGCATTTGCTTTTGTTTTTTATCCTTTAGAGTTTTTATTTTCTGTTTTCAAGTTTTTCATTTCTCTGTTTTTTCTACTCTGTTTTTAGAAATTTGGAAATATGTTACCTAACACCACATAAGATTTTCCACTCTACTTTCCATACTGAGGCCTGTACCTTTCTATTCAGGCTTGCAGCTTGCTGATAGCTTAAATTTTGATCTGCAATCTGTTTGGCTTTGTATATGTCACTATATCCAAAGTGTTTATTTTGGTTTACTTTATTTGTTGCAGCCAAAGTACCTGCCAAAATTTATAAAGTAAGTGCATTTCTATTGATGAACTTTAAAAACTTTTTTGTTTTTGTGTTTTAGGTTGCTTTGGCATAACTACGATATTTCATTTAATTCAGGAAACAAATAGATACCGGTGCCGATATCGTCACGGGAACCCGTTATGTTAAGGGTGGGGGTGTTCACGGCTGGAATCTAATGCGTAAATTGACAAGTAGAGGAGCAAATGTCCTTGCACAGACACTACTTTGGCCAGGAGTATCAGACTTAACTGGATCATTTCGGTGACGTTTCTCTTTATAACTAAATACAGAAGTTTTATAAGGTCAAGTACCAAAAATCCAAAAGTGACCCTAAACGTCCAAAAAGCACTTGATTGACTATGAACTCTTCAAATGTGCCATTTAGTCCTTGAACAAACTTAAGTGACTCATTAATGACCCCAGACTCTAAAAAAAGTCTTGATCGGTGTTGATCATGCTGCATATGTGAGTGTCCCAAACAGATGACAAATCAAATCAGATGAAACAGTAAAAATACATTACATAAAGAAATTGTTGCAAGTGATCTTATCATCAGTTATACCTTTCTTCATGTACCTAATCATATTCTCTTTTTGGCACATGCATATATTGTTATACGACATGCCTAAAGTTAATAATTTTTTAAAAGTGCAAGGTCATGATTGAGTTATTTACTTGTTTTAATTTAGTTTAGGGGTGAAACAGGATGTCTGGATAGCTCAGGGTCTATCTGCCTTTCATTGAAAGTTCATGGTCATTTTTGGGTGGGAAAATCAGTGTCGATAGATTCCTCCAGAAAAAACAACAAAATCACAGAAGAAATGTAAAACAGTATCAAGAAACCAACACAGCTTTATTAAAGATGAACAGTGACATTGGCCGAAGCCCCCAAATGGCCGAAGCCCCCAAAGAGAGAGTAATCTCAATCTTCCCAGTCCCAAGACAAAGTCTAAAAACAGCCTCCCACTTCTTACCAGCTTTATTCTATTTATAGACCTACAGCTCAACTAACTATAGTTAATAGCTACCAACTGAAAACTATTAACAAACTATTCTATTTATTTTCTCTAGTATCAATCTTTCTTACTAAAAGTAGTCATATCCCTATCAATACTCCCCCCCTAAACATCCACCTTGCCCTCAAGGTGGGTGATAGGAAACAGCCAAAATCTTATGCTTCCTCTTCCTCCTTGCACTTCTACCTTCCCAATATCTCACTGGTTTCAGAGCAAATAGCTTTAGTACATAATCTTTCCATCTCCCAAATTTTTCTGCAGCATATAATATTTCTGGTGAAGTTTTGCTTTCTTCACTAGCTTTTAAACCTTCAATAGCCACAAGTATTTCCTTGTCTTCACTAGCTTTTTAACCTCTTTGCCAGTGTGATGCAACACTGAAAACGAACAACATTTAGTGCATGAGAATACAAATTCAACTCCTTCAACACCAAGTGCATCAGTCATAATTCTGTGCATCCCCATTCTGAGTCCAGCTTCACTTCCTTCTATCACCGTCGTTTCCTTAATTGCTCCATTTGCAACAGTAATGAAGTATCGCAGCCAATTCCCAATGTCATTAGTCACTGCAAGATATTTCTGGTGCTTCTGCATGACCATTATCAGTAATTCTTTAGGAAGCTTTAGGAAGGTATCCTTAAATTTTCCAAGTACTGACACAGGTGCCTCAACAAGACTTACAACTTCGTTAATTAGACCAGTCTGCACAATAGGAAATCTATGTACACTCTTTGCAAGATCATGGGACTGCTCCAATATAAACTTCTTGCGTTGATCAACATCATCAAATCTGAAACCATCAATCTTATTCAGCCCTACAATCACATCAATTACAAGAAACACCTCCTTCCCTAAATCAGATATAGTTGAGGTATTGAGAGGTTTAACCATTGAGTCTCCAGTAGCAGGTGAATGAATACCCTCATCAAAGGGAATCAATTTTTCTAATTTACTGGCATCCACATGAAATCTTGGTTGAACCTCCACTGTCCACTTAATGGAAGGGTTACAAGTATCAATCCTTATCAGGTAAATACCTCGAGATATAGGGATTGACTTCCCAGCTTGGTATATCTTGACTTGAAGGTATTCATCAATTTGAGAGCCATGCTCAATCGACCACATCATCTTGGTTTCCAATTCTGAATTAACGAGTTCATACCTGGAGGGTCTGTTACGAGTGAGGAAACAAGTTATTGCTCCCGCTGCAGGTCCAAGGTCAAGTGACGATTTATCCTTGTGTTCCTTGTCGCAATAGGTGTGCCTATCTGCCGTGGATGGTTGCGGCTGATTAATCAACTCCTGATGCAAATCTGTGGATTTGGATGGAGATTTCAAACTGGAGTCTTCTGCTCGTGTAGAAGCCAGAAGACCAGAAGAAATTGGCGATTACAACGAACCTTTGCTTTTTGAATTTATGCAGCGACGTACCTTCCTCGATCTTCCTCGCCTGCGAGGTTGTGGCCGCAACTTGGTGTGCAACTCGTCCAATCCGGTCCTCCTTTCCTTCGCCCCATCACTTTCCACCTTTTCTTTGCTCTTCGTATGCTTCTCCTCCGCTATTTTTCCCCGCTCCACCTTTTCCGCGATCTTTCCAATTTTTCCGCGCGAAGCCTTTCGCGAGTGCGAAACAAAAGAAACAGTTCGCGACTCCTGCGAACCAGTGAGGGACGAACTCTGTTTGTCAGATCGCCGATGATGCCTGGTGTTCTTTGATCGGTGCAAGCGCTGATTTAGACGCTCACAGTCACGCATGATACTTTCCAACATAGCGTTCGTTTCCTTCACTTGTCGATTCAGATTGTCCAATCTCTCTTCCATTTGCGGTGTCATATGGAATTCCTCCATCGCTCCAGATTATTGATGTTCTGGGATAATCGATGATTCAGATTTTCCTCCAGGAAGTGGCGTGCTCTGATACCACTGATAGATTCCTCCAGAAAACACAACAAAATCACAGAAGAAATGTAAAATAGTATCAAGAAACCAACGCAGCTTTATTAAAGATGAACAGTGATATTGGCTGAAGCCTCCATATGGCCGAAGCCCCCAAAGAGAGAGAGTAATCTCAATCTTCCCAGTCCCAAGACAAAGTCTAAAAACAGCCTCCCACTTCGCTCAACTAACTATAGTTAATAGCTACTAACAAAAAACAACTATTAACAAACTATTCTATTTATTTCTTCTAGTATCAATCTTTCTTACTAAAAGTAGTCATATCCCTATCAAGTGTCCCCATTCAATCTATGACAGGAAGTAATGACAATTAGGGATGTAAAAATCAATAAAATGAGTTCATCCTTTCTCCCTGTAAAAACATGAGGTCAATTCAATCATAGCAAGCCAAATAGTTTTGCTGTGTGTCAACTGTCAAGCCTGCTTAGTTGCCCAATCCAGCCATGTTCTTTAAGTATCTTAATTTGACAACTTCTCTTCCATGATTGAAGGCTCTACCGGAAGTCAGTGCTTGAAGACATCATAAGTTCATGTGTCAGTAAAGGCTATGTTTTTCAAATGGAGATGATTGTCCGTGCTTCAAGAAAGCATTATCATATTGAAGAGGTAGTTAATTATCTTTTTTCCTAAAAGGTTGTTGGTTCCTAACCTACTTAACTCTTATTGCTCGATGGATCTTGGTTACATTCAATAGTCATTTAATTCGAGAACTTTTTGATTTTTTGGGTGTTTAGACGAAGTTATAGTTCTCTTTTTCCATTTTCTGCAGGTTCCAATTACTTTTGTTGATAGAGTATTTGGGAGCTCCAAGTTGGGAGGTTCAGAAATAGTCGAGTATCTTAAGGGCCTCATATATCTTCTGTTTACAACATGAACTATAGAACAACCAACTGATCACTTTCTTTCGAGTTCCAACTACTTTCAAACAATGCATTTTTTAAAGCGATATTTGAACTAGTGCTTAGAAACTTTAGACTAGTGACTTTTCCCCCTTTATTGTCGTTGTATCATAAAAACACACCTACTGACCTACAGCCTACAGGAGAAAACTAATTATATGGCATTATAGTGTTATGTTATACTCCCTCTGTTTCACAATCAAAATCACACTTTCCTTTTTTGGATGTTTCAAAAACAAAGTCACACTTCCCTTATTTTCTTATTTGGTAAAGAAATCTACATCAAAACAGTACGTAACAGTGCCAAACAGTGTAAAAATAGTGTCAAAACAGCGGTCTCTACAGTAAAATTTATCCCTCCGTAAATTTATTTCCTTTATAAGTGTGAAGTCAAATTGTGACTTTGATTGGGAAACGGAGGGAGTATGTTGTAATTTTCTTCATTCTTGCAGAGTTGCAGACTTGCAGCTAATGAAGTTGTGGGGTCAGTCGTTTTATATATGCATATTGAAATATACGCATAACTTGTCAAACTTAGGGATGGACTCGGGCCGGGCCAACCGGCCCGGAACCGGACCGGCCCGCTACTGTGCGGGCCCGGACCGGCCCGGTGAACCGGTTCGGTTCCGGTTCGGGCCTCCCGGCCCGGTGGTATACCGGTCCGGGCCCGGGCCTCCAGTTTAGTGAACCGGCCCGGCCGGGCCGGGCCCGGTTTGGGCCGGAATTTTTTTTTTTTTTTTTTTTTGAAATTTTTTTAAGTTTTGGGTTGGATTAGGTATTTTGGGCCATTTGAGGTGGTTTGGGGTGGTTTGGGGTGGAGGTGGAGGGGTAGGGGGTTAAATAAGAGAAGAAGAAGAAGAAAAAAAAAACATTCCGGGTGGCCCGGCCCGGCCCGGCCCGGTTCTGGCCCGGAACCGGAACCGGAACCGCCCACCACCGGTTCGGGCTCGGGCCTCCTTTTTCTGAACCGAGGCCCGGCCGGGCCCAGGCCCGAACCGGGCCCGAACCGAAACCAGTCCACCCCTAGTCAAACTCCATCTTTTTTACTTGAACTGTCAACGGTATATTGCTTTCACCACTTGGTTGAAAGGGGTAGTTGTGAGGGGAGATGTTGGGGTTTACAAATTTATATACATTTTACATTTGATAATTAGGTTGATTAAGTTGATTGAGGGTCTATAATATTTATAGATAATTAAGTTGATTATAATTTTATCATTTTACTTGTATATTTATAAGTCATAACATGATAAAAAAAAACGTGCACGGTGCACCAAATCTGTACTATGTCAAGTATTAAATATATGCGCAATTAGAGAAAACTCTCATATATCACTATGTGGGTGTTTGACAATTGGCTGACTGTGTTGGCTGATTGATAACAATGGATTTTGTTGGCTGTTTTGATTAGCTGGTAGTACTAGCAGTTCGTAAAATAATGTTTGGTTAAACGGCTCTTTACAATCAATCGATATCTTGTTAAATGACTATTAAGGACATCAATTAATTTTTAGTTGATGTAATTAATACTTCGTAAATGATTGCCTAGCTAAACCGTTTTTGTGATTCAACGATGTAAAATTTACTTTACATCAATTATTATTATTATTATTGTTGTTGTTGTTGTTATTATTATTAGTTTAACATAAAAAAGTACTACCTCCGTCCCAGGGATAAGTTCTTATTTTCCTTTTTTGGCAGTCCCAACAAAAAGTTCTCATTTCCCTAAATGGAAAGTTATTCTACATCAAAACAGTGCCAAACAGTGCAAAACAGTGTTGAAACAGTGCCAAACAGTGTCGAAACAGGGCCAAACAGTAAAATTTACCCCTCAGTAACTTTATTTCCTTAATATGTGTGAAAGTCAACCCGGGAACTTCTCCCTGGGACGGAGGGGAGTACATAGTCCTGGACTCGGGCCGGGCGGCCCGACCCGGAACCGGCCCGGCCCGGCCACTGTAGCAACCGGCCCGGCCCGGTGGTTCCCGGTTCCGGGCCCGGGCCTTCCATATGGTGAACCGGCCCGGCCGGTTCGGGCCCGGTCCGGGCCGGATTTTAATTTTTTATTTTTATTTTTTTTGAATTTTTTTTAAGTTTTAGGTTGAATTAGGTATTTTGGGCCATTTGAGGTGGTTTGGGATGGTTTGGGGTTGAGGGGGAGGGGTAGGGGATTAAATAGGAGAAAAAAAAATTAATTGGGCCGGTTCGGCCCGGCCCGGCTCGGCCCGGTTTGGCCCGGAACCGGAACCGGAACCGGCCACCGGCGGTTCGGGCTCGGGCCTCCCTTTCCTGGCCCGAGGCCCGGTCGGGCCCAGGCCCGAACCAGGCCCGAACCGGCCCGAGTCCAGGACTAGGAGTACATAAAAAAGTAGGTATTGTAAGGTAATGTATTTTATAACATAACTCCCAGTACGTTTACTTCAATTGACTTTCCGTGCCACAAGACAAAGCTAAATTGAAGAAAAATCTAAAAAAGAATTTTATTTTCATGCACTTTTGCTCATTTCATTGTTTTGTTCTTGGCAAGTTAAGATTAGAATCTCGTTTTGCATCTTTTGTTTTTCTTATGGGAAAACTGTCAAATAGGTCCTCGAACTTTCATAAAAAGGTCAATTAAGTCCTTCTATAGGAGGTTCTGTCCGGCCGTCGCGATTTGGGGCAATTCTTGGTGGAATTTTTTGATGAATTTTTTTGAGCATCTTATTCACCAAGTCTAGTTTATTCATACCAAATTTCAGCTAAAAATTCAATCGGGAGCGCATTCAAATTAATTCTTGAAGATAACTGCGCATTTTTGCGTTCTCGAATTAATTTGAATGCGCTCCCGATTAAATTTTTAGCTGAAATTTGGTATGAGTAAACTAGACTTGATAAATAAGATGCTCAAAAAATTTCATCAAAAAATTCCACCAGGAACCGCCCCAAATCGCGAAGACCGGACAAAGTCTCCTATAGAAGGACTTAATTGACTTTTTTATGAAAGTTCGAGGACCTATTTGACATTTTTCCCTTTTCTTATTGATGTATGGGCAGGACTGCAGGAGCGGCTACAGAAAAGAAGGGAACATGGGCAATAAAGGAAAATATGAACATATGAGAAACGGCCCGTTCTAAAACGCTATGTTCAATAGCTTTTCACAATTTGACTGTTTGGAATAAAAAGTCAAACCAAAAAGTCATTCAACAAAACATCTTATTAGCTGATTAATTTGGTCAAAAAGTCAAATAGTAGTCAAAACAGTCAAAAAATGGCGGATAGGCTCCCAACCCAACACCCCTATATGAATGTGTATTTCCATGCAATTAAGAATGAATTGCTAAATTTGGAATTGAATAATACGAAATCATTACTCCGTAATTTCTATCTTGCACACATCGCTCTTGAATTACTGCAGTCCGTAGGTTGTAAAGGCATGCTACAAATAACGGTGCGCAAATGAGGGGAGTGAGTTTTTCAAACATATAAACCGAATAATCAATACAATGACCAGATAAAAACAATAAATAGTTAGCCTATTGCACGTCATGACAACAACCAAATTAATTAAACCCAAGTGCTTTTACTCTTTGTTTGACTTGTACGACAACAACAAGATTTTGAGGTCGACTAATATAAATCAATCAATGATATAGATAAAAGATGGAAAAAACGAAAAAATTAGGTAAGATAAAAAGGATACGTTAAATATAAAAATAAAGATAAAGATAAAATAAAAGAACACAAGAAAAATAAAAGATGAAAATAACATAAGCAAGATAAAGAAGATAAAATAAAAGGAGGGAGAAAAGAGAAAAAAGAGATCAATCATTCACCCGAACATGTGCTCTCTACTCTTCAAAATCATGCTCTCAACAACCCAAGAAGAAGCATATAAGTTCTGATTTCTCTAATTAATCAACGTCTGTTTGAGTCTTCCTCTTCCTCTCCTCCCCGCCTCTTATCCCCACTTCTCAACTCATTTAACCGGTGTATCACTCATTCTTCTATGCGCGTGACCAAACCGCCACCGCAATAGAGACTCATTTTCAAGCGATTTTTTGACATGTTCACATATTCAACGCGACATATGCATCTCTGTCATACTCGTCTTTTGAATATTTGTCTCCCACTAACACTCAACACTCTGCTCGTACGACCATCCTACAAAAGTCATACACCACCCGCCTACTCACGTAAACGGTGTTTAATATTTTTGTTAAACCATGCCCAAACTTCACTTTTGCTTACTTTTAGTACTCGTTTGAATTTTAATTTCACGTTTGTTTATGCATTACTTTGATCATTTATTTAGAAAAAACATACAAATATAGTCCTGTTACTTATACATTTACCCGTTATTAGTCCTTAATAAATAAAATTAGATTCAATTAGAATATGTGAGTAATGTAAAATTAATCACTGAACAAATAATGTTTTTTTTAATAAAATTCACCAAAGTAAGTACGTATATCTTTGTTAAAAGCATGAACATATGTCTTTGTGGGTGAAGGGAGTAAGAAAGATATCCTTGTATAATTCTGGCCTAATGATCAAACGAAAAAGGTTTGGTCACTTGGAATAGACGTGATACTTCCAATTAGGGGCGAACAAAAAAACCGAAAAAACCGAAACCGACCGACAAACCGACCAAAACTGAAACCGACTCAAACCGAAATCGAGTCAAACCGATTAAACATTGGCGGTTCGGTTTACGGTTTCACCTTTGGAGTTAAAAAACCGACCGAACCGAAATCGACCAACAAAAATCGACAAAAACATGCTAAATCTAACCTAAACCGACACGAATAATGATGTTTTTAATTGAATTGTTTGAATTTCATATCAAATCAGAGCCAAACAAGTCAGGTTAGACCAAACTAGACTTAAATAGATAAAAAAAAATCAGACCAGATCGGAATAGAAAATTTTACCAGATAGAAAACTAGACTTAAATAGAAATTTTTTGTCAAACTTATATACATGAGGCTCCTAGATGTTAACACTTATTTTGAGTTAATCATTTGGCCATCTTTTTTACCATATATGAAATTTTTTCGCACAGTGAATCATGTAATTATATAATAATTAGAATAAGTAAGGTTGTAGTTGTTTTTCTAACTAGATCGACTAAATTTATTATATAGGACTCATATAATTATTTCATATAATTCTTTCTTTATTCTATTTATAAAACTATTTTTTAATATGATAGTATAATTTTCTTT